GGTCTTAACTTACCAGTAAATGCGAAAAGAACATTTGTGTCAGTGTAGATATTCTTCTGGTTGACAGTGAGTAATTAAGTAGAGCGCGGAGATGCAAAAACCTTGACTGGTTCCATGTAGAGTGCATCTTTTTTTAAATTTACTGTTGTGCCAAGATTGTTTTCAAAATGTTGAAAATGTCATCTGAGGATCATATTGCACATCCTTTTTTGTTTGTTTTGATCTGTTAAATCCGAACTGTTCCAGACTGTAATATGTTAACAATGCCCCAAAAGTTTTTCTAATAAAGGCAATATGAACATGTTCATTGTCATTTTAAGTTTCCAACCTACATACAGGGGAATGAATGACTGTATTGCAAATTGTGCAGTAAGCTGCATTCTAATCAACGAGACAGAACATGCTTCCCTCGGCAAACGGCTCTCTGCAGGGGTCCTACAGTGAAGTTACAAACACAGATGCTGGAAAGATAACATCTGCTTATTCGGTAAAGTTTACAGAATTTAGTTAGTGCAGAGATAGCAGGATTTAAATTCCTGTCTCGCTCACGCTTTGAGAGTGTACTAATAATTTTGTTGGGGTACCTTAACCTCTGCCTTGTTGCCGTAGATAAAAGCTGAAGTTTATTTTCTTTTAAGTCTTCTTGTGTGATTGCACACTGCCCCCTTGGCCCCATGTCTTCATGTTGTTTCTTTTCCTTCACAGGCTCAGAGATGGGTAGGGCCGTAAAAGATTTTGCAAGCATTTTCTGGCTTGGTTCCTGAGACCTTTGAGTATTAATTGAAATGCTGCATGTCTTGGATAGATCAGTGTGAGTGTTTATACTGCTTCTCGGGGAGAGAGAGAGGGGAGGGGGTCCTAATTAGGATGGAAAACTGACAGGAAGGAAGCCAGCGGGAGACACCTGGCCTGATGAGCATGTTTATGAAGTCACGGTCTCCTTGGAAAGCAAAGGGATAGTCAGTTGTGATTTTTTCTTTGGTCTCACATGAGTCGTGTTTGAACATTTCCAAGCATTAAGAAGAGGCGCATCGTTATATTCAATGACAGAAGGCCATCAGAAAGATCAAACCAAGCGTGGCAGCAGCAGGAGGATGTGAGCGAGGCAAGCCACATTTGCTGCCTATAAAGCAGCAGTCTCTCATCAAGCAGCCATCCAGCCAAGAGACACAGAGGCAGGCGTCCTTACCGCCTGGCATCCCATGCTAAAGGGCTCAGAAGCCTCTAGAGGCACCGTCCTTTTGTCAGTTGTTGTGGAGCTGTCAGTTAAGCCCAACCACCGGGCTGTGATTGCATCTGTCTGCTCTGCCTCGATATTCTGCTGCTTACAAGTGGAGGATGTACTGGACATATTTTGCAATATATATATATATATATATATATTTTTCTTCTTCTTCTTTGTTTTACAAGCCCATAAAACAATAGATGTGTCCAGTTGTATTATCTTCTTAACATACAAATGCTGCTTTGAGTTGAATGGAAATATTTAACCTATAGTGTTGATGAATCATCAAATCCTTTTTTCTTTTTGATCCAAAGGATCTCATAAAGCCTATGTAGTATTTAAAAAATGCACCAGTTGCCACCTTGAAATGGTTTATTAAACAGTGGAAGGATTTCATTCGAAATTCAGCAACTGGTTTATCATTCAGATAAGTTGTCAAGGAATCCTTAGAATTAAAGTTCTTCCATTATCCTATCCTAATGAAGCAATATATTCAAAGGACATTAAGTTTTGTATTTTATTTCATTTTTAACTGTGGAGCCCATCATGTCTTTTTGAATAGGCAGTGCAGTGAGGGTGGATGATGTCATCTAACTCAGTTCCAAGGTAGTAAAAAACAAATAATTGCTTTTGGTTTCAGTTTAAAGGCAGCAGTGGACGTTGTCACAGTTTTACAGGGTATTAAGAAAAGCAGCAAAGCTGTGGCTTTTAGAAATCTGTCCAACACAGTTTTCAGCATGAGTCATGTAACTAAGATAGAGCAAATAAACAGCATCTCTGGCAGTACTTATTAGTATCGCTCAAAATCCAGTAGTCTGTATTTAATTTCTACATCTCTTATTACCAAGCTGCTCTCAGAAGATGTGATCACAGACAGACTGGGTCCACCAACTGATGCTGGCAGCAAAATTCAAATTAGGCAGCCTTTGTGTGCTTTAGCAGCTGCTGTCAAATTCAGTGCTTGAAGTTAATGTCACTGCTCTGACTGTGACTCAAGGCCTGTTGTTTTAACAGCGTTCCTGCTCAAAAGAGGACCTTGAAAGTCCTGGTGGGAGTAATTTTCTTTAAAGAAATGTTCTTCTTTTTCCTTTACTTAAAAGCGGCAACAGTTCAGTGGAATAAATCATTTAAAAAAACAGGATGAAAAACCCTGACGCACTTAAATTTACAAAACCAACCCAAAATGTGAGTCGATGACTATGACCATCAAATGGATTAGCCTCAACCCCACTGTTTAAGGAGACATTTTTTGATAACCCCACTGTTTAAGGAGACATTTTTGTATGTTGACTCAGGCCTTTTCCTAGTCATTAGATAGCCAAAGAACTTAGATCCACAACTGAATCACATCCTTACCACAAGTACTATAGTCAAGACTTCTGATGAAGTTATGCTACTAAGTACATTTGTACCATTTCTTCAAATTTGCAAAAATAGTCCAATTAATTTGTAATTGAGCAGTTATAAGATGAGCAGTTATGTGTAAATTGAAGTACCAGTAAACCTGTCATCTTTATTTACAACAGCAGCTTTTTCACATCCTTCACATTGTTAAAGCCTGATAATAGTAGTCTGAAAAATTCTATAAACATTTCACATTTATGTGTATGTATAAAATGTTGGATATATATTTTTTTTTTCGTTTTAGTGCAGTTTAGATGGCTTAATTAGCCTTATCTGGTAGGCAAAGTGATAGGGAAGACTCCATTTACAACCTTTCCATAACACATGATAAACTGCAACTTTCAGAAAGAGTCATCAGCTAAAATATGCACTCCTTATCAGCAGTGTTGATTTGTTTTTAAAATAATACTATAACAGGCAAACCCACAGTTCAGCAAACTGCACTTTGAATCCTTTAGACTGACTTCAAATTCAGATTTTAAGCACCCCTAAGTGTCTCTCTGTGCGGTTGGAGCTAAAATTCAACACAAAATCGTCAGTCTTTCTATCTTTCTTTCTCTCTTTTTTTTTTGGTTTCATACTGAGTGACTAGTTGACTAATGGCATAAGGGGCTTTGAAGGTTCCTGCAGATGACAGGCCAATTGTTCACGGATCATTTGTGCTAGGGAGGAATTGAGGCAAGTGTAAAAATATGATAAAAATTTGTTCCCTAAGTTGTTGGGGGGAAAAAATAATATTTTTTTCCATGTCAACCCATTCGAAAATTCTAAATTAGAAACTCAGAATTAGTCATGATTTTACTTTTGATACCGCGCAGATTTTGAAATGGACATGAAAATGTGCCCAATAAATATATAATGTAACATTTATCATTCGTATCATTCTAAGGCGTTTTTAGCCCAAGTTGACAGCAGGATAGGTTAGAGACGCATGGCCTGCCTTCTAACAATATTCACTTGTTAAAATATTAATGAGGTCATTAATAATTTCTGATGATCTTACATGTTCATGTGTAGCTGTCTGTGTGGAGTTCTACATCTAAATCTGGAATCAAGAGAAGCCTACATCACCTACTAGTCACCAACAGCTACATCCGAATATATTTTTAAATTTATTCAGGCGGTTGTGTCGGTAATAATGTCATATTGTGGGTGTTTGATAATTTTTGCAAATACTTTGATGAATGCTTTTTCTTTTTCTTTTTAGTATTGGTTGGCTTATAGAGGATGTATATGTGATGTTATAGGTTAGGTGGGTTATAGCTCAAATGGACTTCATTTCTTCTCATTCTAGAATAGTCCTTACATTAAACTCTTTTAGACAGTTCAGTTACATCCCAGCGGTGCTTGATCTGACCATTACAAAGAAAGAACATAAATGTAGATGTCTTGTCGCCATGCCAGCCTCTTTCAGTAAGTCCAGTGCTGGTAGCTGGCATTGCCAAGGAAACCAGTGCGTGATCAAGCTGCTGATACTCTATGCTGTTGAAGTGGGCAGTGGGCACTCTGCTGGATAACTTAATGGAAGGACACAGTAGAAAAAACACCTAAATGCTTCAACTGTATAAGATAATAAACTGGTAAACTCTTTTTGAGAGTGTTTTTAGTATATCAGAGTATATCAGAATTATGCTGTTTCAAGGAAACAGCATAATTAGCAGACTCCGAATCACTCTCATTGACCTATTAGTACTGTACTCCAATTGGCCAGAGCTTCCGTTAACAGTGCTTTCCCCTTTTTAGACCTTTATTTACTTTACAATGTGTATTACATATGATATCAGTGTTTATTCTCACATTGCTTTAAATAGATTTGCTCTGACGTAAACAGTTCTATGAAACCACCACAGATCTGCAGTTAGACACTGACCTTTTGGTACAGATTTGTTCGAGCCACAGCAGCTGATGATTCGATGATCTTAGCAGGCTACTAAACAGACAGCCGTGGGGATTGGATGTGGAAAGTAAACATCCCTGAAAGACTAACACGTTGCCATCTGCTTCATGGTACAATAAGGGGATGATTACAGCTCTTTTTTGTGGCAATGTAGATGCAGCATGAGTCATGATTCTAAACAATCCATTTAAATGTTGAAATTACACAAAATCCTGAAACTAGAGATGGTATATCAGTACTTTATATGAGTACTGTAGTTATTGTCAATCAATTGACTGAAACTGACTATATATAAATAAGATATAAAACACTGGAAGCTTAGAAAGCTTCCTTGCTATGGTGCAAATGTCAGTATTAAGCTGTTCGTAAACATAGTGTTATCCTAACAGCTTGCCCTTCTTTGTCATTTGTAACGTACTTTGCTCAACTGATTTCAATCCTCATTAGAGGCATCCCTCTGACGTTGATCCATAGATGTGTTTTTCTTTCCAGGCCACAATTGGAATCGACTTCCTGTCAAAAACCATGTACTTGGAAGATCGAACGGTAAGGAAACAAGTTACAGCTGTGTTGTGTCATGATGGGAATGTTGAATGTTGGTTTTATGCTAGCTGTGCGGCAACAATTCTGTCCTGTTTGTCTTTACCATGATGTTCTGGCTACGCAGTGTTAAAACACACTTCATCCTCTTTGTGACGCATAGATTAGTTCCTTCTGCTGTTTTTCTGTTTACCGTAGTACAACAATGCGGCTTTGACAATGAAGGGTCTGTTTTAGAAATACATTTAGATCTGATCCCTTGCACTTTGTGTGTCTGTGTGTGTGTGTGTGTGTGAGGGAGCCTCCTGTTTCCAGGCTCTCTGACAGTCTGAATAATCTTCCCCTCCTCAGCTTTCTCTCTCTGAACCCCAGGTGAGGTTGCAGCTCTGGGACACAGCAGGACAAGAGCGCTTCAGGAGCCTCATTCCCAGTTATATACGGGACTCCACTGTGGCTGTGGTGGTCTACGACATTACAAGTGAGTGCCCCTAATGATGCCCTTATTCTGAGGCTAATATTTTTCCTGCAGAAATGCGACAATCCAGCTGTAATTAAACTTGTTTTAAGAACTTTAACCAGATGATATACAACTTCTTTTGTAGTCTAAATTTTGCAGCACAAAAGTCATACATTTTGAATTAGACTTATCTCTTTTTTCCCCCTGCATTTCTCAGTAATAATGTAAAAAGTCTTGATCTTCTGTAGTTCTTCTAAACATCATTCTGTCATTTCCATTTCTTGGCAACATCTAGCAAATCATGGAGGAAGAGTGGGAACAGAGGCATTATTTTTTCATTATAAGGGAGATGAGCAAGTGTAAGAAATGTTCCCTCTTGAATTGTAAAAATGGGGAACAGCAAAGCGTTTTGAATGTGCTGCTTATCAAGTGTCAAACCAAAATAACGCTTTATCATACACAGGCTGTGTGACTTATCATCTGTCTTTCTATTAGCTGGAATTAATGCCTTTATTTTCTGTGAGATTATTGACACATTACCCTCCTCCAGATGCATATATCATAATGATATGTATACTATATATCAATCAAATCTAAATTAAAGAAACATTCATTAACAGACTGCATATGATAAATATGTAAATGTGCTTGTTACATGAAGAAATAAACAGATATAGGCAAGTGAACAAAATAGGAAATATTTATTTCCCAGCTCCTTTGACCCATCTATGACCATCCTGTTGCAAGCAACAGAATTTAGCATGCATTCTACACGTTAAGATAACTCATAGTTTAAGCATCAATAAAATTCCACCATGAAATAAAATCTGAGAAGTATGCTAATCTTAGTACTGCAACTCCTAAATGTTTTGTGCAAAAAATAATTTCCGACTTTTCTTAGAGTAAAAAGCAAAGAAAATAAATAATAACATTACCACCTCTCCCAGCAGTTTGCTGATTTTTAAGTATAGTTCAAATTTATAATCACCCGTTTGCCTCTCACTGAGCAGTTACCTGTCCTTGATTAAATTATTGGGAATCTAAAATCCACTCTCCAGTATCACGTGTCAGAATCTGAAATTTCACATTCAAACCACAAGAATTTTAAAATAAATTGGTATACCTCTTTCTTCAGTGGGAAATTATTTTAGTTGTAGAGACTTTGTCAGTATGCAATGACATTGCTTTGAAATGTAATTCCCAACCATCTTGTCTTGTCTCATCGTATTTCGAGTGTCTGGGAATGTGATGTTACCCTGGCATACTTAATGATTGCAGCAAGGTCAAACTTTACCATGCAGCAAACGTGGGAACGTAGTGACAGATGCTGATTTGTTGTTTCATTCATGTACTGTATCTCACATACAGTATCAGCTATACTTTATATTTAGTTAAAGACTGCAGCTTTAGTATTTGATATTAGCTATCAACGGGAATTGTTGGGCTTCTCTAACTAACTTCAGAGTACGGTCTGACCTGCTCTTTTGAAAAGCGCTGTGAGAAAAATGTTGTTGTGATGTGGTGCTATATAAATAAAACTTAATTGAATTGAACATGACACTTAAGATTAGCTTTTTGTGTTGAAATACTTTTATTGAGATTTATTTAAGTTATTTGGAGACTGTATCAAAAAATATCTGCACATGTCATTACTGCTTATTTCAGTTGTTGTATTAAGAGCGGCATTTCATGTTACTTTAGTCATAGAAACATTATTTTTATCTGCTTTTCTTTTTCAGATGTCAATTCATTCCAGCAAACGTCGAAATGGATTGACGATGTGAGAACAGAGAGAGGAAGTGATGTTATTATCATGCTTGTTGGCAATAAAACAGACTTAGCAGATAAGCGGTATGTATGTACTACTGACCATAGCTCCTAATTTCAGCATTTCTTTTTAAGTCTCAACCTTATGGCTCACAAATTGTGGAGAGTGTCGGTAAAAAAAAAAAAAGGCTGAGATCACACGTTCCTCTCACAAAGGAGAATAGGTCAATTTGTTAATCCAGACGAGTGTCTGTATGGATTTAAGATTATTTTCAAAAAAGCAGGCAAAAATAATATATTTGGTACATTATAAAGGATGCTAACAAATATTTGCTTCATTATAGACATGATGTTTAGTATTGTTACTGGAGCATTCCTGGTTAGGTAATCGCTGGTGACTCTTGAGTAATCTGCTCTGGTCAGAAAGGGATTTATTTTTAAGTATGATGATACGTAAAATTATTAAATACAGATGAGACAGAATGTTATATGCCAAGATTGAGAACAAATTTATTTTAGAAATAAACACTTATGGTCCTTTTCTCTGGTAGCTTCTCAGATCTACTTGATCGTACTTGACTCTACATAAGTTAAGTCTAAATGTGTGTGGGGTGGAGGAAGGTGGGCCAAAATTCTCGACACAAATTTAACACAACAATGAAGAATATCATTGCGATTATATACTGGCAGCACCAAAATCATTGGTATGCAGTATTGGTTTAAATTTAGCCACCCTGCTTACGATCACAGATGTAATGTGAGGAGGCACAGTGAGTACATAATTGAAGAAAACAGCCAAAACAGAAGCAAGGCACAAAAAGAAACAAAACAGAAATATGCACATGAATAGTGTTTTATGGATTAGCTATCAGAAGAATGAGTGAAAGTTTTTTTTTTTTTTAAACTAGAAGAAAATAATAATGAAAAATGCTCTTATTATATTTGTTATGTTTGCTCTTTATTTTATGTAACCCTTTGTTATCTTTATTTTATGTAACATTTTGTTATCTTTTCGGGTATATTGCATAGCCTTGTTTAGATAAACATAAAAAACAATGATATGTTAACATAGTCATATCCCAGGATTTACTTGGTTGCAATTAAGGATTTTGCTAGTAGATTATATATACCGACCCTTTTAATACTGTGTTGTATTTATTCTCTCAAAGCATGCTCTTTTTAAGATATCTTTATAGTTCTCCATACATCAGTTTTTTTTCTACTTAGTATTGTATCGGTGCTGTAAAATAGTTTCTTTAGTATCTTACACTTTTGGCCAAATATGAAGCCATACTTAATGTCGAGCTTGCCACAGATTGTCTGACCTTGTGTGGTAAGTAATTTCATTCCTACATTTTGCATTAATTTCCCATGCGGTAACAACAACTGACAGCTTCAGGGCGTAAATCCCATGGTGTTTTACTTCACTGTATGTCAGTAGCAGAATAGAAGGCAGGAAAATGCTGTTGATGGCAGTTTCAAGGGTATATCTCACTGAACCTGTCAATAAAAATTCACTGGCCCCAAAACAACAATCAGAAAAAAATAAAAGATTTTGCTTTCACACAACTATTAGGTAGACTGTGATGTAAGGATGCAGAGGTGTCTCAGGCAAAGTTAGCAAATAGGCTTAATGAATTTAACAAAATGAACCATGACATTAAAGTTCTGTAGAGAACAGAGTGAAATTTATTCTTCAAATAGCGCCTTCGGAAAGAGAGAGCGGAATTAACTTAATTTCACATTACTGCTATTTAGTTGGGTCTTGACACGGCCTGGAAGTTGAATGCCCCCGTAAATGTGTTTTGGTAATGAAGTAAAGGCTCTTTATCGCATTAACGTCACATCAGCTTTTTCCTTAAAGAGCTTATTCTTAAAGGAAAACAAGCTTTCCTGCTGTGTATTAAGCTTCTGCTTTATGCTGAAATCTTTGTACCTAAATCAGAAAAGACAGTGTTTGTCTCGTCCGCGTAAAGTGCTTTGGTTTCTTGCAGTGTAATCTCAACAATTCACTGTCTTCTCAGTCACTGTTATTTTGTTAAAGTTATTTCCAAGATCAAGTGGAATGGATTACGTAGCATTATGAGACTGCACCTTATGAACACTGAGCTGTCTGTGCTGGTTGATGTTCACTGGTGCGTCATAGAGATTTTCACTATGCAAAAATCTTGGGGATAGAAAGTACACAACATTTAGGTGCTTTTCCTGTGCTTTTCCTGGAGCTCAACATGAGGGAAATCTGATTTGCTTCATAAACCATGCCGCATCAACCGAGCAAAACCAAACTTACAACAGGATTCACAAATGGAAAGTTTGCTGGTCGATTTATATCAAGGGCAGTTGACCAGACCTATAAACACTTTTTCTATCCAATAGCATTGCAAGGTGAAGGAATAGGACCCATCAACTATGTAAATGTGGTCTTGAGGGGGCCCTTTTTTAAGAATTGTTGTGTACATTTGCAAATGTGGGTCTTACAGGGTTCAACACAGGACATTGTTCATTTTGTTTTGTTCAAAACTGCAACTAGGAAACCGGTTTCCCAGTACAGTTAAAAGATTTGCTATTAGCATTTATGCCGCTCGTGGTCTGCTCGTGAATGGAGCTATAGTTCCCTGATTTATGTTCAATTTTGTACTTCACTAGCTCCTGGAAAATATCTGAATTATTTTATAAAAAATACATTTTTAATGATAAAAACTCTAAGGTCTCAAAAAATATATAATTGTTGATGAAATGGAAAAATAAAAAAAACTATATAAGCTTCTACACTCTTGCTAAATAACTTTGTAATAACCCTGTCAAAGCAGCTAAACATTTTAAATATTTTTATTCTAAAAGCATTATTTGCACTCTTTTTTATGTTATAATGAACTGTAAATGTTTTACATCTTTGAAATCTATGCCCTTTGGCTTTCCCTAAAGTTGTGGGGTGTAACACCATTTTAAAAACTCACATCAATGTCAGCCTGCAAATATTCAACCAAGACTATTAAGTTGCTATCATATTAGAAAATATGCCATCAAAAGCCCACAGAAATATAATCTATCTATATTAAGATATCTAGTCAGGGTTTTTTCCATAAGTTTTAGTTCTCAAAGGTAATGGGATGAATGATCCCCCCCAAAAATTTAATAAAACATTTGGAAAAAAAAATAATTGAAACAAATCCATCGAAGAAATGTATAAGCAAATAATATCACAGCTCATTTGTTTTTACGTTGTTTTTATTAAACAGATGAGCATTCATCCAACTTATTTTTACTTGTATGAATTATAACGTACTTCAAATCAGTCACGCAGGTTTCTGTGGGCTGTCTGTTTGATAATGAATAAACCAAGATGTACTTTAAGTTGAGTCTCATGTATCCAGAAATAGTCACACAGTCTCTAGTGCAACCAAGTCAGGTGATGTCATTATGTAAATGCTTCTCCAGTGCAGAATTTCCAGTTTGCAGCACACAGACATATTTTGCCATCACTCACAGGATAAGTTTCTTTTTCTTTTCTTTTTTTTTCTGTTGTGTCATGCAAAGGAACAGTTAGAGAAGGAGATGCACATCAGTTGAACATGTCTCTGTGTTTGAAGCTTAGAGCCGATGTTTCCGTGTTAGGGGGGATTTAAAAACTCCTTTTAGGTGAGCTAAAGAAATTTGTATTTTTTGACTCGGCATTGATTCCTCCTTTATTCCGAAGATGAAAGAATACCGGCTGACTGCAACATGGTTTCATGTTGATTTCATTTCCCATCTTAACAAACAGCAAACAGGCTGTGCAGCCTGCTGCATAGGAACAACCACACCATGTTCCCTGCATGCATTATCAGACACCTGATACAGTCAAGAAATCACTGTCAGACTCATTATAACGTTATGCAAATGGACTGTTATTAATTTGTCAACGGTCTGTCCAATTAATCATTCACCCAGTTAGCCAATTAAGTCTGCTGTACCCTCGCTGGCCTCAAATAACCTGAGCTTTAGCTGCAAACAGGATGCCTCAGAGACTCTGTGTATAACACCTATTCACCTTTGGTAAGGAATATTAGCTGTTAGCTTGGTGTCCTGATTCCACAGTGTTTTCCATATTGTTTTGTTGAAAATGACTCTCCTTTTTCAGACAAATCACAATCGAGGAAGGGGAACAGAGAGCTAAAGAACTGAGTGTCATGTTCATTGAGACCAGTGCCAAGACGGGTTACAACGTCAAACAGGTGAGTGAGTTCTGAGAAAGTTAGGCAACATTTTCCTTGTAATTGGCAAGCAAACTTATGGAAATACTGTATAACTACACATTACAGCTAATGGAGCAGCAATTATTTACCTCATTAGCAACAGCACTCATTTTTATTAGAATTTAATTACTACAGTAGAATTTGAGGAGGCATAAAAGTACCCTGTGGAGTTCTTTCTTTGCATTCAGTGCAGACATCCTTGAGGACTGATTAGTCTTGCATAACCAGACTTCACAGTGATCTTCACAGTGCTTTGTCAGCATTGAAAACGGTCTAGCTGGGCTGACTTAACATTCTGAGATGGAGGGATGAAAAAAAATAATTGATTTGTTTTTGATTTACAATTAAATTTGAACATGTATATCTTTATACTCAATTCAAATAATCAAGCAGAAAAAGACTAGATGCTTTTTAATTCAATTTAGTTTTTTGTTAGGTTCTTTTTTACTTATGGATTTGCATTCATGTGTACCTTCTGACAGCCTTCAGGTGGGAGCAGCAGTGATTGAATCTCTCTGTAAAAGCGTTAAACTTCTCAATCACAGCCTGTAGAGTTCATCCGCCCCTTCCTATGAGCACGATTTTTTAAGTGTACAGGCTCTCTTCTTCTCCTGCTGCTTGTCTCTGTTTTGTGCAGTGTTTATCGCTGACTAACTCTAATGTGTCGAAAGATTTGATGGTTCCAGACACAAAGAGAAGAGCAGCCTAGTTTAACAAAGTCCATCTGTTTGTGAACAGATGATTGTTGTTCAAATCGACCTCGGTCTGTGGAATTGAGGAGTAGTGAGATAAAGGCAGCCAGCATTGTGTCCGTCAGTGAATGGCAGGCGCCTGGCTCATCATGCAACAGTGCAAACAGAAGAGACTATTCTTTACCTTACTGAGGGACCATGCACACTAGTAACTGAGTCCCAGCGCTGATCGTCGTGCCGTGAAACCAAAACAAAAGACACAGTAACGCCTGCATAGGCTGCAGTGTTTGCCTTTGTCATCATTCCCTACCCTGATGTTCTGCCAACAAATTCAAGATTCTAATTTAAAAAGCCCTTTCCTTATCATATTAGAAACCTGATGCTCAAACCACATATCTTCCAACAGTTGATGGTTCTACAATGAAATCATTCTCTTTCTAATACTAATTGAAATGACCACAAAATACTATCTTCATTCAAGAAAAATGATCGAAAACCATTTTGAAGGAAAATACTGCATGAAAAACTATCTATGCCATTGACATGTTGTATATTAATTGTACATTTATTCTGTAACTCTATGAAACATTTGTTTTGCCAGGGCATGATTTTTCACCTTGTGTGACTTAATCAGCACTGATTTTGCCAACAATGTCTTTTTTTATAATTTTTCAGCTGTTTCGTCGTGTGGCAGCTGCTCTTCCAGGTATGGAAAGTATGCAAGAAACAAGCAAAGAAGGAAGTATCCTTTGACCTAAAGTTGTTTTTGTTCTTTTTTTTTTTTTTTAAAGGCACTTTCATATTTATGAAAACAGTGTAAGTGCAGAGTAACACTGTTACTCTGGTAGGGCTGCATCATTCACTGTGAAGGGGTTTTCAGAGTGAAATAGAAGTAACTTGCCAAATTACTGTAAAATCTCTACAAATGGTCGATAAGGCCATGGCATGTCTGGTCTTCAATCAGCCTAAAAAAATCCCATCTCACCCCTCTATTTATTGAAGTTTCCTGACTACCCCTAGCCAACCACATCAAATTCAAGTCACTGACGTTAGCAAACAAAGTGCTTAAGAGGACTGCTCCCATCCACTTGAATGCTCTTGCAAAGGCTTATGTCACGACTCAGTCACTCTGGTCATCAATGGATCGTCATCTAGCCGTGTCTACACCACGCTTAAGACAATTAAGACTCTTTTCAAATGTCATTCCAAGATGGTGGACTAACCAACCGAGTGCTACTAGGGCAGAAACTAGGGCGACCCTGTCTATCTTTAAGAAATTCTTAAAGACCCAGCCTTCGATAAAAGCGTTAAGCATAAACGGAATTAAACCTATTTTCAGGGAAACAATTTGGCTTTTGGAGCCCTGCTGTCCGATATGTTCCGCCTGTGTCTGCCATTGTGTTTACAGTGGACGGGCAGATTTGCTCATTAAGCTATCGGTCACTGGCACTCTACATCTACAGCTGCCACCTGGAAATGTTAGATAGTTGTTAGAGAACAGCAAACAAACGCTTGCTCTGCATTCTCAAGTCTTCAGGAAGTAAAAGCAATAGTAATTTATTTCAGTCTGCTGTGTAAAGTGTAAATAAAAAGCTGAAAAGGTGCACAATACAAAAAGGTTAGCAAGTTGCTACAATGAATATTAAAATAAGTTACAATGAAATATGGAGGTTGATATATTGTGATATTATTTTTTATTTGCATATCATCCATACCAACTTTTTGGGAAATGCAGTAGTAACGGACCAATATCTGCATAATATCTTTATCCATAAGTGAGCGAATATCTGTGCTATATTCTATGTAAAATACTATACATATGAATATAGATGCATATATAATAATATACTGTATGTATAGAGTAGATGCTAAGTAGATGCTAATTTGGTTTTAGTTTGGAGGGAAAGGGCTGTCTATCATTTTCTAAGCAGCCTCTATGTTTCCACTTTCGTCTATTGATGCGGGAAACTAGATAGATAATAGTGAAATTCTAAATAATCTTCTATGTCTTGTTTACATTGAAAATGAAATGATATGCAAAACATGGCGCATCAGTTACCCGTACTGAACTTATTGCATTTCAGGAGATGACAGGATTCTGTGCACTAAAAGCTAAAGATGTTCCAAATGAATAAAACAGTCGGTACTCATTATGAGACATGAAACCCTTTATTTTCATAAACGGTGATCTGTTTGTCAGGTTGTCAATAATCCACGTTGTTGTGGAGGCATCGACCTCTGTTTTCTTGAAGTTCTGGCAATGTAGTTCACAGTGAAACGGTGTTACAAGTACTGGAGAAATCAAAGAACACAATCTTCACTGCTGTTTGCTTTGTCCAGGCGAAAGTGTGTTTTGCTGAAATAGATCAACCAGGTGGCTTTTTCAACCCCAAACTCTGAATGATAACCCAACTTAAAACCTTAACATTTCGGTTTTCCTCTGCCCTCCTCTCTGCACCTGCACATGTTATGCTCTATTGAAAATCTCTTGAGATTCAGGATGCCTTCTTAACACAGTACTCACTGTACACATAGTCTACCGCTACAGGCTTTTGAAATGTACACCAAATGCACATGTTCGACACATACATTGATTGTAATTTCAGTCAGTATAACCTTTTTTTTTTAAAGGTTTTAAACAAACATTGCAGGAATAAATAAAAAAACGTTTTGGGTTTTCCATTTTCTTCTCGATCATGAAGCCCTTTAATTTAGACTCCTTTTGTAGTAATTTATCACTTACAGTGAACTCTCAGTATTTTATTATTTTTCAAGTACCGTAATCAGGATTTCAACCAGAAATGTCAGTATGATGTCCTTCCTTTTATACCCAAATTTCAGCCAATTCACTTTGCTTCTCTGAGAAGAAATAAATGTAACAAGCATATGATTCAGCCTCTGAAACGCTTTTATTTTGAAAGAATGCAAGTAGATAAATAGACATCTTAGACACAACATTATGATGTGCTTTGCCATTTTTTAAAAAGTAAAATGGTATGTATAAAAGAGTATTTTACAATTATAGTTTAATCTTCAATAATCTTTAAGCAAAAGAGCTTTTACATTCTGGTGCATCAACCAACCATTACAGAACCATAAAATACCTAATCTTGTAAGCTGTAGTTTGTGCATTACATTGGGTGGTCTAATAAATTGTTTAGGCACTATTGCTGCCTCATTTTTGCATTTACCATCTGGTAAATAAAGGATTGTCTAGAATTCTCATCATGTACTCCTAAAATAATTTGTTTATCAAGCTATATATGCAAACAGATATGCATAAATAAAGTAGTCAGGCCTCACTAAAAGTAAATTATTATTTATGGAGGTTTTAAAAGCGCTCATGCAGCACTGACTGATATCTCTAATGCTTATACTTGTCTGCTATCAGCCACTCAGCTTAGCAAATCAGAAATCAGAAAACCTTTTTTATGTATATAATCAAGATCACTTCATTTCTCCCCTGAGAGCAGCAATCCTTCATATCCTCCTCAACAAACAGAGCAGAGGGCCATCTCTATGGTAACTGTGGATAAGTTATGAAATTGCTTTTGATTTAATCATGTGCATAGATCCCTGTCATTACCCCTTCAGGGTGAAGCTGTTTGGCATTGTGGCGAGGAACACGGCAGCGTTCGCTAGCTGTAAGTTAAACTCTATTCAGACGCTGGCTGTTTTAAAGCAGTGTCTCTCTCCAGCTCAGATCACAGCTCGCTCATTCACTTTGTTCAGCTTTTACCAACCGTGTGGCTTCAAGAGTAAAGTCTATAACACCGCAGCCCTTTCAGCTGTTCATCTCCCTTTTGTTATGTATTGTTTTGTCATCAACAGTATTTCATGGTTATAATACAAGCATTCATATCAGTCTATTACCTTTATCTCCCATCCTGTTTTTTATATCAATCATGATGAGGCATAATGGATCAGGGAGCGAGCGGTGTGAGATTGAGGGTTAGTGATGGATGGCAGATGACCACAGTTCCTCAGCAATGACCCGACCCTGTCATTTAATGGAGCTGCTCTGCTCTTGTTATCGCAATGGGATACATCATTGCTTGCAAAAACACCAGAGTTACAGTTTAGAAGCAAAATCTATGTGATTGTAATTCTTCACATTAAGTTACAATTGGTTTAATCAAAAATAGTTTAAGGAAAGAACTGCAACTAAGCCAAACAAGTTTAAGATTTTTTATTTCATGTCAAAATATTTTAGGATGTTTTAAGCTTGTTCTTTGCGAGGACAGATGGGTCACTGATTTATAATGAGTGTCCATGCCTGTGAGACACATTCCTCTGCTCCCT